TGGAAAGTCATAGTTGGAAAGTCTGTAGTTGGAAAGTTGATAGTTGGAAAGTCGAAAGATGGAAAGTCGGTAGGTGAATAGATGTTTGCTGGAGTGTCGGTTGCTGGAGTGTCTGTAGTTGAAGAGTCAGCTGTTGTAGTGCCAGTTGTTGGAGTGTCAGTTGTTGGAGTGCCAGTTGTTGGAGTGTCAATTGTTGGAAAGTCAGTAGTTGGAAAGTCTGTAGTTGGAAAGTTGGTAGTTGGAAAGTCGAAAGTTGGAAAATCGGTAGTTGAAAAGATGTTTGCTGGAGTGTCGGTTGCTGGAGTGTCTGTAGTTGAAGAGTCAGCTGTTGTAGTGCCAGTTGTTGGAGTGTCAGTTGTTGGAAAGTCGGTGGTTGGGAAGTAAGTAGTTGGAAAGTCGGTAGTTGGAGAGCCGGTATTTGGAACGTTTGTAGTTGGAAATTCGGTAGTTGGACAGCCGGTAGTTGGAGAGTTGGTAGTTGGAATGTCAGGAGTTGGAAAGTCGGTAGTTGGAAAGCTGGTAGTGGGAAAGTCAGTAGTTGGAATGTTGGAAGTTGGAAAGTCGGTAGTTTGAAAGTCGGTAGTTGGAAATTCGGCAGTTGGAAAGTCGGTTGCAGGAGTGTTGGTTGCTGGAGTATGTTTAGTTGGAGTGTCACTTTTTGGGGTGTCAGTTGTTGGAGTGTCGGTTGTTAGAGTGTCAGTTGTTGGAAAGTCGGTCGTTGGAGAGTATGTAGTTGGAAAGTTGGTAGTTGAAAAGTCGAAAGTTGGAAAGTCGGTAGTTGAATAGTTGTTTGCTGGAGTGTCGGTTGCTGGAGTGTCAGTTGTTGGGGTGTCAGTTGTTGGAGTATCAGTTATTGGAGTGTCAGTTGTTTGAAAGTCGGTGGTTGGGAAGTCGGTTGTTGGAGTGTCGGTAGTTGGAAATTCAGAAGTTGGAAAGTCGGTAGTTGGAGAGTCGGAAGTTGGAAAGTCGATAGTTGGAAATTCGGCAGTTGGAATATCGGAAGTTAGAATTTTGGTAGTTGGAAAGTCGGTAGTTGGATTTCGGCAGTAGGAGTGTCGGTTGCTGTAGGGTTTTTAGTTGGAGTGTCAGTTGTTGGGGTGTCAGTTGTTGGAGTATCAGTTATTGGAGTGTCAGTTGTTTGAAAGTCGGTGGTTGGGAAGTCGGTTGTTGAAAAGTCGGTAGTTGGAAAGTCGGTAGTTGAATAGTTGTTTGCTGGAGTGTCGGTTGCTGGAGTGTCTCTAGTTGAAGAGTCAGCTGTTGGAGTGCCAGTTGTTGGAGTGTCAGTTGTTGGAGTGTCAGTTGTTGTAGTGTCAGTAGTTGGAGAGTCGGTAGTTGGAGAGCCGGTAGTTGGAAAGCCGGTAGTTGGAATGTCGGAAGTTGGAATGTCGGAAGTTGGAATGTCGGAAGTTGGAAAGTTGGTAGTTGGAGTGTCGGTAGTTGGACTGTCAGTTTGAGTGTCGGTCGTTGGAGTGTAAGTAATTGGGGTTATACGGTTATCAGTAGTTGGGGTAGTTATGTCAATTGTGGTTGGAATGACAGAGGATGTGGTGAGATCCCCCTGTGGCAAAGAGACTTAAAAAAATAAAAAAAATAACTATGTAAACCACATAAACAAGGGTACATAGTGTAATTTGCTATACGCATAGGAGATTATCCATGTTGTTCCAGTTTCATCGGGTCTTCACCAGTTTTCTACTGTACATTATGAAAGAAAGAAGTCATTATCACTGCCAATAAACTTTTGACATTTGATAGCAAAGGCTACTCTTTTATAAACTGTATCTGAGACCTGACAGTAGTTATTTCACAGTATGTAAACAGCTTAACAGTTAATCTAAATAGTGTTTGGATAAAAATAAAGTCTGAAACAATGTCTTAATTGATGCTATTGTATCCCGCGCAGCAAACAGACAAAACATCAGTCAATCATTGACTATAAACCAAACTTTAAAATTAATAAACCACACTGTAAAACCATAAGGTCATATATTGGTAATAATCAATTGATAAGTTAAATGCATCATACGTACATTTTTGAACATCTGGAGAGTGACGGCAATCTTTTTACGCAATTCTCAATCATAGAAGAAACTCCACAGCATCATACACTACCGGTCAAAAGATTTAGAACACCTACTCATTCAAGGGTTTTTCTTTATTATTACTATTTTCTACATTGTAGAATAATAGTGAAGACATCAAAACTATGAAATAACACATATGGAATCACGTAGTAACCAAAAAAGTGTTAAACAAGTCCAAATATATTTTATATTTGAGATTCTTCAAATAGCCACCATTTGCCTTGATGACACTTTTGCACACTCTTGGCATTCTCTCAACCAGCTTCATGAGGTAGTTACCTGGAATGCATTTCAATTAACAGGTGTGCTTTCTTAAAAGTTAATTTGTGGAATTTCATTCCTTCTTAATGCGTTTGATTCAATAAGGTAGTGGGGGTATACAGAAGATAGCCCTATTTGGTAAAAGACCAAGTCCATATTATGGCAAGAACTGCTGAAATAAGCAGAGAAACAACAGTCCATCATTACTTTAAGACATGAAGGTCAGTCAATCTGGAAAATTTCAAGAACTTTGAAAGTTTCTTCAAGTGCAGTGACAAAATCCATCAAGCGCTATGATGAAACTGGCTCTCAGGAGGACCGCCACAGGAATGGAAGACCCAGATTTACCTCTGCTGCAGAGGATAAGTTCATAAGAGTTACCAGCCTCAGAAATTGCAGCCCAAATAAATGCTATACAGAGTTCAAGTAACAGACACATCTCAACATCAACTGTTCAGAGAAGACTGTGTGAGTCAGGCCGTCATGGTCGAATTGTCATGGTCGAATTGCTGCAAAGAAACCACTACTAAAGGACAATAAGAAGAAGAGACTTGCTTGGGCCAAGAAACACGAGCAATGGACATTAGACCGATGGAAATTTGAGATTTTTGGTTCAAACCACTGTGTCTTTGTGAGATGCATGTGTCGGTGAACGGATGATCTCCGCATGTGTATTTCCCACCGTAAAGCATGGAGGAGGCGCTGTTATGGTGTGGGGGTGCTTTGCTGGTGACACTGTCTGTGATTTCTTTCGAATTCAAGGCACTCTTAACCAGCATGGCTACCATAGCATTCTACAGCGACACGCCATCCCATCTGGTTTGTGCTTAGTGGGACTATCATTTGCTTTTCAACAGGACAATGACCCAACACACCTCAAGGCTGTGTAATGGCTATTTTCCCAAGAAGGAGAGTGATGGAGTGCTGCATCAAATGACCTGGCCTCCACAATCCCCCGACCTCAACCAAATTGAGATGGTTTGGGATGAGTCAGACCGCAGAGTGAAGGAAAAGCAGCCAACAAATGCTCAGGTTATGTGGGAACTCCTTCAAGACTGTTGGAAAAGCATTCCAGGTGAAGCTGGTTGAGAGAATGCCAAGAGTGTGCAACACTGTCATCAAGGCAAACGGTGGCTATTTGGTTACTACATATTTCCATATGTGTTATTTCATAGTTTTGATGTCTTCACTATTATTCTACAATGTAGAAAATAGTAAAAATAAAGACAAACCCTTGAATGAGCAGGTGTTCTAAATCTTTTGACCGGTACTGTACATCTGAACATCTTAAATCACCCTGAATAATTCAAATGTAGTGCAAGTCTTACCTGTAGCAAAGACAGCCATAATCCATAGCTCCTTCATCTCTGCTGTTTCCAGGCATGCAGTGTAAGCAGACTGCACATTATTAGGATGTCTGTTGGTCTAATGCTGCTCTGTTCTTCACCTGTTACAGAGTCTGCAGTGACGTGCAGATACCAGTTAATGATTTACTATTGAAATTAAGGGGAAAGTACTGTACATTGGCTCCAACACATCCCACGTTGTCAACAGGATTAGTAAAGACAATGACGCAAATTCTTTGAAAATAGATCAGGTATGACTGGATGAATACATTGGATACACATGGATGGATACTGTGAGGACCAGTCAACCAATAGCATTGCCCTTCTCTATGCAATACATTCTTGGTTGCAGCTGGGAAGGAACAGTACATGTTTTGGTAAACAGAACAACTTTTTTCCACTAGAGCAGGTG